AAGGCAGACATCAACAGGCACATAGAGATAAACAACATCTACACACTATTCAAAAGAGACAATAAAAAGGGAAAAAAAGACCAGAACATCTCACCAGCAATCATCACCCAGATAAGTAGAGATTAACACCAAGATTATCACCAGACATACAATCAGCAGTAAACAATACCCTAATCAAGGAACTACCAGAGGAAAAAATAAAACAAACCCCCCCACCCCCACCAACACTGGCAGGGCATACCACTGTATATAAACAGAGAGCACACCCCATCCCATTCTAGCACTGAAGATGTTACCTAGCTGGCTAACAAAATGTTTGCAAGAAAACAGCCAAGCTCAGAGAACTCCAGGGACTCCACAGTTTAACCCTGAGCTACACATACTCTCTTCTATTGGCACTTTGTTCTCTATATGGTTTTTAAAATGCTGACTTCCCCATCCCAGAATATCCTAACATCCACACTAATTTACTACCTTGGTTTCCCTGTATATGACCTCTCCACTTAGAGATAATAGAGAAGGACCTTTTATTTGGTGCTACAGTGCTGAGACATTAATATGATGAAATATGCCATCATCACATAGAAATGCATACATCCATTAAAATGGGATGTAATTTTATTATATGTAAGGTAGAAAATTAAAAATATATCAAGACAGATTTGACTTCAATCCCCTCCTTTTAAATAAAGAGTCATAGGTGTTCTCCATTAAAAAAAACATTGGTGTTTTATGGTCTTCAAAAACTGAAGAAACGGTCTAAGTGAGCCAATGTCAACATTTTCAATTGTGAAGGTAATTAATGTATGAATTTGGCTACATCTGTAAGTGGGAAGATTTGTAAGTGGGAAGGCTTCAACATGCAGTCTTATAATTATTGGTGATCCTGTTCACTTTACTAGTAAAAGTTTGTAAATGTAAATTGATTGTTTCTAGCATTAGTTGCATTACATTGGCTTAGCAATTTCTTTTTGCAGGAACAACTCTAGAATGCATATGGGAATTTCTTTATAAGATTATATGCCATGCAAAGCAGAAAGATCATTTGTATGATGCCGTGGGTGCTATGCTGCTCGCCAAAAGATGGATCCAATAAGTCAGGAAAGAGTTAGCTCCAGCTTAGTGGCAGGGCTCAGTCTTTTGCATTGATAGAAAATGTTCTCCCCAGTCAATGCAACTGAATTTAGCTGGAAATACATCCCTCTACTCCTTTAATAACTGCAAAAAAAAAAGCTACAATTAGCTATGGGGGGACACGGTGGTGCAGCGACTTAATGACGCTGAAAGTTGCCGGCCAGAAATGGTCGACGCTTCAGCGGTTCGA